CCAGACCCGCAAAACAGCTGGCTGGCTGGCAGCAGAGCTCTCCAAAGAGGGCCACCAGGTGGCTCTGCTGAGTGGGGAGATGATGGTGGAACAGAGGGCGGCTGTCATTGAGCGCTTCCGAGAAGGCAAAGAGAAGGTCCTGGTGACCACCAACGTGTGTGCCCGTGGTGAGCAGAGGCTGGCTGCCCCATTCACAGGCGGCGAGGGTCCCGGGTCCTGTGAGCAAGAAAAGTGCTCGTATCCGTGCTCTCACGGAGGTGGGAGGGCTTTAGGGACATTCCTTTGCAGGAGAGAGTCAGCCTCTCCTTGGGCAGTAAGAACCACATGGAAGAAGCCAGCAGTCCTCTTGGTGGGAAGAAACTCGGGGGTCTGGATACTGGCTTTCTGACTTCTGGCAGAGTTCTGTTCTGCCTAGGCTACAGTCCTGTAGATGTCCTCTTTAGTGCCCACAGCCCAGTGTGACCTGCCCAAGCCATGTCTCCAGTGAAGTGGGGGTGTGTGGCTGACGGTGGCCCCCTTGTCTCCTGCCTGCCTCCCTCCAACCCCTTTGTGCAGGTATTGATGTTGAACAAGTGTCTGTGGTCATCAATTTTGACCTTCCTGTGGACAAGGACGGGAACCCAGACAACGAGACCTACCTGCACCGCATCGGGCGCACGGGCCGCTTTGGCAAGAGGGGTCTGGCCGTGAACATGGTTGACAGCAAGCACAGCATGAACATCCTCAACAGAATCCAGGAGCATTTTAGTGAGTCCCTGAGTCGGCTGTGCCCGGGACCCTTTGCAGAGGGGAGTTTGGGACGGGGGAGGTTTCCTTTGTCCCTGAGGGGGCTCTGTCCCTGCACTTGCTGTCTCCACGTGGCTGCTGTCAGGGAGAGCTCCTGAACATTCAGGGCTCAGGGACTGGAGTACCAGTGCCCTGGCACCAAGCTAGGAGAACCTGACAACCTCCTGGGAAGTTGGGATCGGTGCCCAGGACCCTATTGCCAGCTGCTCGGGCTCAGGCAGCCTGCCCTGTGCCTAGAGGAAGCACACTGTCCCACAGCTGGGCGCCTGCCCTCCCAGACTGCCATGCTGTCCTAGGTGACCTCTGTTACATTTCCACGGTGGTCCACGGTGGTCTTCCAATCCTTATTTCCTCAGATAAGAAGATAGAAAGATTGGACACAGATGATTTGGATGAGATCGAGAAAATAGCCAACTGAGAAGCTTCCCCAGCGACTGGCGCCACCCTCAGCACTGTCCTGCCGGGGAGCCTAGTGCTTTCATGGCATAGGCCTGGACAGGCGGCACCTCAAAGACCAAGGCCCGAGTAGAGACTACCTACCTCATTCAGAATTACGTTTGGACTTTACAGAAATTTGTACAAATGATGGGGGATGGTAGAAAATTTGTTTACACAACTTTGGAAGATTAGGCATGAATACACAGAAATTTACCTTTTAGAAGTTCCGTCATATTTTTTTTTTTTTGCCAATATTTCCCCATCACGTTAATCTAGATAATAATGCCCAGGCTTCCTTCCTTATGACAAACCTTAGCTGTTCTTTGACTTACGGTGTGCAGGCCAGCCTTGTGGCCGTGACAGCACAGGAGAAAAGAGGCACCCTGAGGCAGAGTCCCCAAGTAGGATAAGGATGTAGGCCAGTTCTAGTGTCAGAAGGACGGCATGAGGAGTTGGCCTGTGAGCTGCTGCTTAGCACTGGGTGTGCAATGGCTAAGCTGAGTTACCAGAGCCCTGCTAACTTATTCCAGGAAGAGATTTACTATGCTAGACCAAAATGCCTTTGGGGCCACTCTATTCAGGTTTGTGCCTCAGGAACATGGCTTGTTCTTTTTCAGCGGTTGCAATCTGTGTGCAGGACAAATCTCATTATTAGTGAGTTCTTGGCTCATACATCTGCAAGACCCATGGATAAGTTCATCAGGGAGAATTAGTGGTCGCTCTAGCTTGCCACAAAGCCTTTGTCATGGGCTCCTTGCACCATTGTTTTTACATTTGTAACATCACCTTACCCCCTACTAGTGCCAGCCAAATAAAAGGGTACTTGAGATTTGGATACTTAGTGAATACTGTAGCCTCAAGTTTCTGATGGGCAGCCTCAGTCTAAGCCATTCTAGACATAGAGTTCCCAACAAGTAGTTCTGTCAGAGCTAGGGAATGATTATAAACATTGGGCATCTTGATTCTAAAGGGATTCTGATCATCTATGTTCACAGTGCCTCGAATGAATACAAAGGAGTGTGATGAGGGACAAGATGGACCACAGCCATTTGTCTGTCCAAGACAAGAATAATCAGGCATTTGCTCCTTTCTTACTCGGCACCTGTGAGTAGAGTGGTAAAAGCAAACAATAGAAATGGAGAATTCCTGGCTAGGCCGTAGGTGCCCACAAAGTGACAGAAGAGACGAAACCAGCCAGAAGTCATCCTCTTCAGTCCTTTGACTGGGATGTGGAGTGATTCCTCTTTCTAGGTTTTTTTTTTTTTTTCCCAATGTATGTGTTGTGGTGGGACTCACATATGCTAGGTAAGCACTTTACACAGAACTATCATTCCCAGCCATGGAAGAGGCTTTTTCTATGTTCCTGGATCTTAAGGCCAGCTCCATCACCTGGAAAGGGGAGTGGTTTGCTTAATGTTACAGAGAGACCAACAGACTGCCAGTTCAGCCACTTCCTCTTAATGGGCATTTGACTGAATAGAATTCTTTGTATACTCCTGGCCAAACTTTGATCTATTATAGGAGTCTTAAAAGGAGAGAAGAAATTTTTTGTCCTCCCAAAACACTGTGAACCAAGCCTGGAATAACTAAAACCAAGGATATATTGTAATTGAAGTAGGTAGACTTTTGCTAAGTCTGAAGAGGAAGATGGGGAAGGTGTACAGCAGACTCTTCGATGGCTTCTGGTGGAAGTGTAGCTCAGCTGTTCTTAACCTAGTGTCTTGCACCTCTGAGAATTCACTGGCTGGGTTTCATGATGTCTGTGATGTATTATTTTGAATTTAAATAATTTCTTGGAGTACTCCCAAAGGATTACACACCTTTTAAAAAGGTGAGACCCACAATTGTGGGACTCTGGAATGTCCCTGTGGGCCACATTCCTTCACAGTCCACACTCATTCCTGCCACCAGCTGTTCCCCAAGGCCAGCCTAGAGCTGTCAGGACTCTTAGAATTAGTGAGCTTGCTGTGCCTTTGGTCCAGGGATTCTTTTACTGATTTCAGTAAAGTTATCTTCTATGACATGACAAACTGAACCCAGAAACAAAGAAACTCAGGGAAAGAAGAGAGTAGCTCAGGGAGGGAAATGTTCTTGTCTAATGGAAAGTTTACGATGTTCATTATCCAAAAACAATAGGTTTTACTTTTTTGCTTCAAACTCACGTTTCCTGAGTGCTAGAATTACAGGTACACACCATCATGCCAGACTGGGGTATTTTGTTCTGAGTATCATTTATTGGTTGTCTACATAAGATCTAATCAATTGTTGAGACATAGTTTTTGTTTTTTATTTGTTTTTTGAAGCAGCGTTTTCCTTTAGCCCTGGCTATCCTGGAACTTGCTCTATAATAGACCAGGCTGGCTTTGAACTCAGCCTCTGCCTCCCACGTGCTAGGATTAAAGGTGAGACATAGTCTTTACTGATGTTAATTATGAAGTGTTCATATTACTAAGACATTAATGGTTATAAGAAGGAAGTGGCATCTTGTGATTGTTGGTATTAAGTGAAGTCACATGTTATGCCTTAGGCTAATTATAGTTAGTCTTATTTCAATTAGTACTGTTCTAACACGAGTAACTGGAAAAACTCCATAGAGGTAGGATTCTGCTCACTTGCCAGAGGGGCACAAATACACACACCTCCTACCCCACTGCAGTAAGACAGGATTCAGGCTAACTACTCAGAAAAAGGTCACTGTCAGTAAATTCAGTCTGTAGATCCATCTCCTAATCTTAGGAAAAGTAAAAGGATATAAATTGGGCAATAGGCCTTAGAGACCAAGAGTGATGGTCCACACCTGTCAGTCCCAGCATTAGCAAACCCGAGGCAAGAGGGATTTTAGTTTCAAGTCAGCCTGACCTATGTCTCAAACAAAAACAGGCTGAGCATGGTGCTTCCTACCTGTAATATGGGCATTTGTGATATAAAAGCAGGAAGTTTCAGGAGTTGAAGGGCAGCCTAAGCTACAAGAGGCTGGGTGGGGGCGTGTAGCCTGGAGGTAGATCTTTCCTCTTTATTGAGTCAGTGTCTAAGACTGGTATATAAAGCTTTCCAAAGGCTAGAGAAAGTTCCATAAAGGAGTGGGGTTTGTATATGAGAAAGCAGTCTTGTGACAGGAGGAATCCCAGCCCAGGAATATTAAGACTAAAGCTTAGAATGGTGGGACATGCCTGTAATTCCAGCGTTTAGGAAGTGATGTGAAGATCAGGAGTGCAAGGTCATCTTCAGCTACAAAGAGAATTTGAGGCCAGCCTGGTCTACGAGAGGCCCTGTTTCAGGAAACAAAAGACTAGAACAAAAAATACTAGGTAAAGTGGTTTCATGTCTGTAATCCCAGCATTTAGGAGGCTGAGGCAGGAGGATTGCTAAATTCAAAGCCAGCTTGGTAACATAGAAATAGGCCAGCCTTAGTACATTGTGACTCAAGTTGACAAGGCTAAAAGAGATATGCTAGGAAGACACAGTGCTCAACCTGGCTGAGAGGAAAGTCAAGATTCACAGGATGTTTTGTTGTTGTGTTTGAGAGAGCGTCTCACTATTTAGCACAGGCTGGCCTGAAAATCAAAGCAATTCTGCCTCAGCATCCTGAGTGCTGGCATTCCAGGCAGGAATTACCAAGATCATTAGACTTTGACTGTGTCCTAGTCCACTGCCCTGCTATGACAAGGGCCAGGGCTGGGTAATCTGAAGAACAGATGCAGCCAGTGGGTCTGGAGGCTGAGACTGTCAATACTGAAGCCTTGCAGAACATTCAGAAATTCTTCAATCACAAATGCAATGAAATTGGCTTTCTGTGGTTGGAGAGAGGAACTGTAGTGGCTGCCTCCTTCACCCATACCACCCAAGGTAATGAAGATTTAAGGGATCCTCTTCAAGTTTCTCTTGGTCCTCATTAGAGACAGCAGATTCCTGGGAACTCCTTGCAATTTTACATGACTTTGTTTCTCTGCCTGAGAATAAATAGTCTGTATTCTGTTGCCCAGTTGTTGCAGTGTCTTCCATAAAGGACCCTGGGGCATGAGATTAACCCAACTAATACTGAGGCACTTGTACTCTTGCTTTTTTAATCCATTAGCTGAGATAGGGCTTCCCCAGAACAGCTTTGAAAACCTAGTGTGAAGATGCAGACACAGAAGAGTAGCACATGCTTTTCTTGGCCTCCAGACTGCCCTGGCTTTAGAATCCAGGGGGCCAGGCTTCTCTGTAGTAGTTTCAGTTATGAATGGGTAATTGAAATAGAAGGTGGGGGAAAGATGTTTGAGGACAAGCTGGGCGTGGTGGCATATCTCTGTAATCTTAACACTTGGAGGGGCTGACGGTTGAGTTTGAGTACTGTTGGGGCTACAGAGATCCTGTCTCGTCCAAAATAAAAGGTTAGGTGAAGCTTGACAGTGATGCCCGACATGTCCGCTATCCACATGGAGCACTCACCCCTCTGCCTTAGCTGTAGTTCATGGATGAGAGAGCAGACCTTTCCGTGCCCTTTTAGCCTGGGACTGTGGTTAGTTTTTGCCAAGGTAAGAGACAGCTTTCCCTAGAAGACAGCTCTTGTTTTCAGCCTTTCCTATTCTCTTACAGCCAAGCAGTGTGTTTTCAATTTAAGAACAGTCTACTGAGTTTGTTATAATTATCCCTGAGGGCAGACCTACCTGTTTACACTTGAAAGGACAACTCAGGCTAGGCTGTGGTAGTGCACGACTTTAATCCCAGCACTCCGGAGGCAGAGGCATTCAGATCTCTTTGAGTTCCAGGCAGCCTGGTCTACAGTGTGAGTTCCAGGACAGCCAGGGTTATACAGAGAAACTCTGTCTCAAAAAACAAAATAAAAAAGACAACTCAGGTTATGTGGCCAAATGGGCCTGGGTGTGTGTGTGTTCTGTTCATTTTGCTGACAGCAGTGGCTGCTAAGTAGAGAATTATTAAGCTATGACTGGTGAGATGGCTTTAGTGGGTAAAGGTACTTCCTCCCAGAACCCGCTTCCAACAGTGGAAAACCAGCCTCAAGGAGTCGTCCTTCATTAGTGGGCAATGGTGCGTACCTACACACGAACTTTAATTTTTAAGATTTACTCGTCATTTTAAATAAATATATTTTTTTAAATGTGTATGGGTGTTTTGTCTGCAGTTCCTGCGGAGGCCAGCAGAGGGCATCCAATCCCAAGAACACTCCTTGCAGGCAATCATGAGCCACCATATGGAGTTGGGAACCAAACCCAGGTCCTCTGCAAGAGCAGTAAACGCTTCTAACAACAGAGCTATCATTTCGGATCCTATTTTATTGAGACAAGATCAGGCTGGCCTTAAACTCACAACATTCCTCCGACTTTGAAGGGTTTGCAAGCGTACAGCACTACATCCGGTTCCAGCACTAGTCCTGATGGCCAAAGGTTTACGCGAGTTGATTTTATGCATTGACCTCCAGTCCCAATCCCTCTGTAGTTCTCCTCACAGCTCTCCTGAAAAAGTGTCCTTTGTCAAGAACACTTGATAGCCTATGCAAGCCTAATCTGGAACACACTTCTATTCATATTTGATTTCTCAGCAGTAGTTAACAGTACTTTCTCCAGGAACTAGAACCACTCTAGTGTTTACCATTGGGTAAACTCACTTTTGGGTCTTTTTCTGACTATGTCTCAGGCTCTTTGACGATTTTATTCACCTTCTCATGCCTCAGTCCTCAGCCATTTCCTCCTCTTTGCCATAGGCAACTTTGTTCAATCCTATGGCTCTATCTGCTAGAACCCCACGAACCTCCCACCCCCAATAAAATCTATCCCAAGACCTGACTGTTGAATTCTAGGGTAGGAGAAGCAATTGCTTAATCCTGGGATGGTTTTTAGTTCTATTAGTATGAACAACACAGAGCCTAGCAAACACTACCAACCCAAACCCTGAACCCTGCTCTGAGTTCCTCATCCAACTTGACCTCACAAAATGGCATCACAGTTGCCTATTGTTCAAGTTAGAAACCTGGAATTCAACATGAGTCTTACTTCCTGCTCCTGAGCCAATAAAATACCAAGTCCTTTGGATCAGTTGTCCATTGCTGTGTCACATGTCTTCTCAAAACAGTGGCTTGTCAGATGTGGCAGTGCATGGGCTTCAACCTAGTTTTCAGTAGGCAGACGGGTGGATTTCTAAGTTTGAAGCCAACCAGAGTTACACAGCCTTAGCTGTACTTGGTGGCACAAGCCTGTAATCTCAACGGTCGGAGGGTTGAGAAAGGAGGACTGTGATGTCACTGAGACTGGATCTAAAAAGAAAACAAACCACTTTTCATTTTTGGTTCAGTACAAAATGAACTTGACTAGGGGCTCTCCACACCAGGCACCTGCTTCATTCAAATGTGTCTTTGCCTCACCCGCCCCATACGGTGCTCCATTCTGTCTTGTCACAAACTGAGCTGTATCACACAAGTTGATGAGCTTGTGTATTTTCCTTCCTAATTTCTCATTTTTTTCACATCTCCCCACTCAACCTGAAGCAAAAACAAAAATGGAAGGAAACTGCCCAAGTTAAAGGTAAGTAGGGATTTTCACCTCCAGGTTCCAGCGGATGTGAACGTGGGGGAAGAAAGGGAGTTGGAAATAGAGCCTTCCAGTGCAGCAGTCAGGAAGCACAGTACAAGTGGAGAGGACAACCTGTCAGTCCTGCTCTTCCAAGTCCAGTTCTCTTAGAAAAAGCTCAGGGCTGGAGACATGGCTCAATGGTTAAGAGCACTGGCTGTTCTAGAGAACACAGGTTTTCCCCAGCACCCACATGGCAGCTCACAACTGTAACTGCAGTTCCAGGGGATCTGACACACAAATATAAGTGCAGGCAAAAACATCAATACACATAAA